TGGTGTGGATCTGTGTTGAATGTCTCAGACACTTGTAGATGGTTGAACGATACTAATGTGTATTAACCTAGATTGTATACTAACCAATTCATCAAAATGTTATACGTTCACACATGAGACCAAGGACTCTCTCTGTATTGCACATTTCCATATAAAAGGTCATAGTGTGGTGCGAGCTACTTATAAGTAGTATATGACGTGAATGTCAACGTAATGTCTGGCAGTAGAAGATGGGGGAAGATCAAGAAAGGAAGAGTTAGAACACAATGGAATTTGTATGAAACGCATGAATAGTGACAATGGATTGATGATTTGCAACAGAACAGTCCAGTTCGATATGATGAACTGTTATTTTGCGAATGAACGATTTACGACATGATTTCCCGATTTTACTGAGTAACTCTGTAATTTTCGCTAAATACAATTCGGTTGCCCCACCTGTGTACTCGTTCACTACAATAGAAGTAACTGACTGACGGATCTCTTCTTACCAGTGTTTCTATCTTTTCATTAGTAATTGAACACTGAGCAATTCATAATTCCCATAAAATTAAACTTCTACACACAGATTACATTTTTAAAAACTATGAAATGATCTACTTTTAATAACCAGTCAGTATAGTGTATGTAGGTATGCGTGTATGTGTGTGTTTGCGTACTAGTATGTTGAGTCTACATGGCCACTCTTAACTTTGGCATAAATTGAATCAACCTTTTCATGAATATGAATATCGATGCCTAACATAGTCATCCTTTTTTTTTAGTTGAGATCATGTCATTAGGTACCTAGAAAGACTGGACGGTTGTTTTGTTCAGGCATAGGATTCATCAGTAGTACAAATCCATGACTCCTACACCACAGAATCGAACATAAGACCTTCTAGGACCTAGTAAGCGAGCACTAAACCTTTGAGCACCATTGAGCTGGTATTCAGTTGAATTTATGTCTAAATTCATTCAGTCCACGGTAGTGCACAATCTCACCCATTGTTTTCGGTAGATAATTGTCACGCATCCCACAGGGTTGAACTACACTGGTCATGGCTTCTCTAGAAGTTAGTTATGAGTACAATACGGCCTGTTTTACGGAAAAGGGCTTATCGAATCCTTCTACCTTATTCACTTCATGACACTATAATCTTGTTGCCTTGACAAATGACTTTGTCAGCCATAAAAGATAGGCTGGACGAAATAGCTAATGCCAATCACATGGTACAAATCCATGAAGTCATTAACTAATCAATGCATTGAGCCATGATTACCGTTAACTACCTGTACTACCTCTACTAAAATAGAATTTGAATTGACACTCGTCATCTCTTTTTTACTAATGCACTATAGCAAGTTGAATTGATGTACATATGTAGGAAGTTCTAGTCATGGTTAACCAAAGCGGATTACCGAGCCACCCAAGTAGTGCACTAGCTAACAGCCGTTCCAACCGTCTGGCCTCCAAATGCCTTGCGCTGATACAATCAATCGGAGTCCCCGAGGCCTCACACGAAGCTAAAGATCGAGTTTGTCCCACAAGGTCAGCCAGAACGTACACATTTCCATGAGGAAGATGTCATGAGCTCGACCAGGCGTAAGCGTTCAACCAAACAGGGTTCATCCCACTACGTAAATGGTCAGACATCATTGGCGTCCAGTACCAGTTCAGCACTGAAACACCGGAACCCTAATGGAGACTCTTGTTTAAGGCGCCTCAACGCCAGTTCACACACTACATCGGGTACAGAATGCAAAGGACAAACACATAGGGTCGGCGCCAATAGTTCAGGATCTTTATGGCTGCTTCCCCAAACAAATCGTCTAAGACCGCCTTCAAGCATCCTAGAAAGCTATATCCCTTAAAAATTAATTCAATTTACCTACGCTCGATGGATGGGATTCAGACTTAGAGGACATTCAGTCCTAATCCCCCAGAGTGGTCAACAGCATCCATAGCCTTGCGACAATGAACACGTACCATTATTCTGCACCATGCTAGGCACGGTATCCTAAACGTTCGAAACGGCTTTTTAGCCGCAACGCTGTAAAGAACGCCACATTGCCTGGCAGCACTACGAAGAGGTAGCCGTCACCACAACCCCCCAAAAGGCTATAGCAAATTGAACTGATGTACAATATGTACAAAGAAGTACTACGTTGTAGCTGACTTAGACTTAAGTTGTCACACATCTGTTCTCCATAGAAAAAGAAAAGCTTTCTCTTTGCACTAATTTAATTTTTGTCATCATTTTATTTCTCTCCTCTATTTTTCACTTGAATTCACTCATCCACCACCACCACCCCCCACACATTTATTTTATCATGTTCATTGAAAAAAAACTTTTAAAGAGATTCATTTTTTAAAAATCTATCTTTTAGTTACTATATAACATTACTATGATTAATAATCACAAATTTTATGATTGTCAATAAAGTTTCTGTATGGTGTATCCAATGTTTTCGTGTACATTGTGTGTGTGTGTGTGCGTGCGTGTACGTGTTCGTGTGTCATTTTCTTTCAAAAAAAAAAATAGTCTTTTTACTAATTTGGCCAATTAGTCAATAATAAGTCAGTTAGTCAGTTCGTCAGTCAATCAAATCGCATTCATGAACACACGCTCACGCACGCACACACACACGTCTACAACGATGTGTACCAAATACATCGACACACATATATAAATGTGGAAGATTGAAGACGTCGACAGCTATACAGAGGAGGTGGTGGTGCATAATAGTAAAAGGCAAGTACATAAATATGCTTGCTATAAAAATTATTTTGGTATACCAAAGAGTAAGCGACAAACGATGGCTTGATGATCTAGCTAGCATGATAACTATCATCATGATAATGATAACCAGCTGTGTTGCATAGATCTTGCTTGATATTACGGCTAGTCCGACGACCACTACTACCCCTACCACCACTACTACTACGAATAAGTAACAATCAATCAGTTGTGTTGTCATGGTGTAGCGTGTACTAACTACTAAATCTTACTTTCGATAAAAAAAATAATTAATCATACACTGGAAAAGAAATAAAAATCAGAAAAAGAATTTTTTTAATTAGACTGGGAATCACATCGTTTTCTTTTTTGATTCTCTCGTGAATCCATACACACACACTGTCTGTCTGTCTGTCTATTTGTATGTATGTTTGTTTGTGTGTCTATCTATCTATTCGTCTCCTTCTAAATTTAAATGTAGACTCAGTCAACTTGTGTTGTTTTTTCATAGGCTTAGAGGAGACACGTGTCTTAAATCGATAGGTCGGCATTCTATGGTATTAGTCATGGTTATCATAGAGAGAGAGAGAGTACAGACAGACAGGCACACACACACACAAAGGTCATGACATTCAATTCTGATTTATTATTACTTAAAGAAATAAAAAACTATTTTTTACAAAGAAGATTGACTTTACGCACACACACACACACGCACACCCATACAGATGGCATACTCACAATAGACCCTGAGACATACCGTACGCATACACACACACCCTTTAATTATATTTAATACTTTGTAAAAAAAATTGTACCGCTTATCAACCATGATGATTTGAGATTATACACTCTTCTAATAAATACAACAGAAGGCGAAAAGAGTCAAGACTAACTCATCAACAGTGAGCATCCACAACTCCTGATAATTGCAGGGTTCGAACCGTGGACCTTTGGACTTGCGCGCTAACGCCTAAAATCTTTGGACTACTACTGAGCCACACAGCATCCAATGGTATAATTGTCTAACTCTGCTGATCAGCTGGGGGATTTCGTGAGACCCTACTCATTTTTCTCCCTAACTTACGACATAGACCCGACAGAGTTGAATTCCACTGGTCATGTCTTTTAACTAGGAATTTTGAGAATTCCTTCACGAAACTAATTAATCACTAATGAGCACATGTTCTTATTGATTAAATCGAGTATAATGGGTATATTTCTAATGTGCAACTGTAAAAAAACGAAACCAGATGATAGGCGTTTGAGCGCAGGACCGACGAGCCTAGATTCGAATCCTACGAGTTACTGGAGTTGTCCAGTGCTTCCAGGTTTTTAATAGCGTTTTATTAAATTTGATCGATTTTATGATTTTAAAAGGTAACTCAACGATCTTCACAACCCCACATTGTACTCGTGACAGATTAATCTTATTTTGTTGTGTGATTAAAAATTACACAGAATTTGACATTAGTTTCTTGGTTGTATATCATCAGCTTAGATTGACTGAAATTGTCATTACACTACTGTAGTGAAGGAGAACACAAGTGCGGGCAACCGAATTGTATTTAACGAAAATTACAGAGTTACTCAGTAAAATAGAAAAACCATATCGTAAACCGTTGTTAATTTGCAAATCTTCAATCCAATTCATCAATCAATTGTCTGGCATTTCACTTATTCATGCGTTTCATACAAATTCCATTTTCGTTTTCCCACTCTTCCTTTCTTGATCTTCCCCCCATCTTCTGCTGCCAGACATTACGCTTTTTCACTGACGTCATATACTACTTATAAGTAGCTCGCACCACACTACTACTGAATGTCAAACATGAGATTCCATCAGTTCGTAATTTTCAACACAAGATCTAAAGATCCTAGATCCGTTTACACACACCACCACCTCCCCACCGGCATTATGAATTATGAGTGTGCATTGTTACGGTGTTTGAATTTTAGAACGAAATAAGTTTTCAACGAGGAATTTTTTAAGATGAAAAGGGCAAAATCGATTACTTGTAGCTTAGGTGGATGATTATGCCTAAGCTAAGGATATATTTTGATTATGGAGCTTTCATCTTTGTTCTTCTCCTGTTGAACAACACCATCCATCATCAACAGCGACACAAACTTCACCGTCTTCGATTTTCTCGCAGCATGATTCATAGTTTGTTCTGTTGACCTCACTAACTCAGACACAATCAAAACTCACTTCACAATTATAAATACAATTTTTCAAATAAAATACTTTTATTTATTTTCTCATCTCATGTTCTCTAGGTACACCAGTGAATCGTATACCAATTATGGCTAAACAAGTGTTAGATTTATATGAATTATTCCAATTGGTTGTTGCACGTGGTGGTCTAGTTGAAGTGATCAATAAAAAATTATGGCGTGAAATAACTAAAGGTTTAAATTTACCCTCATCTATAACAAGTGCAGCATTTACATTGAGAACACAGTAAGTGATAGTTCATTTATAATTTTATTTATGTTATGACATGGATATTGACGAAGTCGTGTTCAGTTATTGTGAAATCATTGAGGTAAGTAGTGTTAGGGTTAGGAGTAGGGTACTAAGTACTGATGGCAGATCAATTGATAAAGTAGTGAATGTGTCATCAGTTGAAATGGTTCTCAACCACCGATTTGTTAGGTTCGTCACTAAGTATGCTTGAAGCTATTATGGGTTCACGTTAGTCGATAAACGCGAACGAGACAATGAACCAGTGTCCAGCCAGGTAGGCTACATTGATCCGAAATGGCTAAAGAGAAGTCTTGATATAGCGTAGATAGTGTATTCTGCAAACACCCATCAATCACACAATACAATCAAGCACACAACTCTCATTTATGCATACATCATAGAAACGTCCTTGGGACAGTTAGGAAAATAGTACACTAAAAGGACACGGCAGCCAATCACAGCCATGGATTTTTCTGGTGAGAAATGAGATCTCAAGAACAACTGATCAGCCCATGCTGGCAAACGTGAACTCTAAAATTAAGGCATATTTATCAGGCGAGTTCTGGGTTTGTCTAACGTCCCCAACATGACTACCTCAGCGAGCAGTGTTGTCTGAAGAAAGCTATGGGTAGCCAGAACAAAACATAGCAAAAATCTATAAAGTCATCGACAACTAGACTGAGCCATGTTATTACGTGTGGACTCTTTGGTTGGGGTCCACGAGGCGATAGTTAGCCGATATTTGAACACTTTGAATGACATCGTTCAAAATTATTTGCAGTAAAACAGATACATTCATTTTTTGTCGTTTACTTTCAAAAATTCTAATCCTTTGAGTTCCTCATCACCTTTATCTTTCTCTTTTGTAAGTATATTTCATCTAGATTCTACTTCTTGAATAATATCTTCCAGCCTTAACCTTCTCTATTATTGATAATACTTCTACTACTCTTACTACTGTGGTACTTGAATTGACAATTCCATCTTTGTACATCAATGTGGTATGGTTACTTCAAGTGACGTGAGTACATATGAAGTAGATGCCCTAAAGACATGTATACATGAATTCCATCTGACGTTGACTTCTTTGTATGATTGATATAAAGAAAGATTTTAAAAAAAGATGTTAAATTCTCTCATTTGGATGGTATAATTGTAAAAAACTGTATTGTTTTTCGAAGTAATATCAACCAGTAGTAAGAAATGTTGTCACAAATGTAGATAGGTTCACGTAATTGCATTATATTGCTACAGAAATATAGAATTAACATATCAGTAGTAGTAGTAGTAGTAGCAGTAGTAGTAGTAGTAGTAGTAGTAGTAGTAGTAGTAGTAGTAGTAGTAGTAGTAGTAGTAGTAGTAGTAGTAGTCGGAGTAGCAGTAGTAGTAGTAGTAGTAGTAGTAGTAGTAGTAGTCGGAGTAGCAGTAGTAGTAGTAGTAGTAGTAGTAGTAGTAGTCGGAGTAGCAGTAGTAGTAGTAGTAGTAGTAGTAGTAGTAGTAGTAGTCGGAGTAGCAGTAGTAGTAGTAGTAGTAGTAGTAGTAGTAGTAGTAGTCGGAGTAGCAGTAGTAGTAGTAGTAGTAGTAGTAGTAGTAGCAGTAGTAGTCGGAGTAGCAGTAGTAGTAGTAGTAGTAGTCGGAGTAGCAGTAGTAGTAGTAGTAGTAGTAGTAGTAGTAGTCGGAGTAGCAGTAGCAGTAGTAGTCGGAGTAGTAGTAGTAGTAGTAGTAGTAGTAGTAGTAGTAGTAGTAGTAGTAGTAGTAGTAGTAGTAGCAGTAGTAGTAGTAGTAGTAGTAGTAGTAGTAGCAGTAGTAGTAGTAGTAGTAGTAGTAGTCGGAGTAGCAGTAGTAGTAGTAGTAGTAGTAGTAGTAGTAGTAGTAGTAGTAGTAGTCGGAGTAGTCGTAGTATGTACAACAAACGGGTTACTGAGGGATAATCATTGTCATGTTTATCAAAATCTGTTAATCTCAAGTTACAATGTAGGCGCTAGTCTTAGTTGCATGAAAATAAGTGTTCAATGTTATGCTATGGATTGGTTGAAGATAGTCAAAACAGAAATGCCTTAAATCACATACTATGTTAATTTATATTTGTTAGTAAAGCAGACACCTGCCTTCTTGAGAAAATAGGATGTCATTGGAACCTATGTTGATCCATTTCACAGTTTGAGAAATTATTACTCAGCTTTTTTGGGACTAACTAACTAACTTACTTACTTACTACTCACACTTGTTACCGCGGATGGATTGTAGACTGCCAACCAGCCATCACCAACCTAGCCTATCCTGAACCTTCCTTTCCAGCTCTAATCCAGTGCTATTCACTCTTTTTATATCTGCCTAAAATTCTCGACGTCATCTATTCTTTAGTCTTTCTCTTTCCTGTCGACTTTGAGGATTTCAAGTGAGGGCTTGTGTTATCACATGATTGGGTACATTCCTCAATATGTGTCCTATCCACCTCCTAATTTTGTGTTCTCTCACCCACAGTAGATTACTGCTGATGATGTTTGGCCCCAATGGATCCTCACTATCTCGTGTAGACAGTTGCATCTTATGAATGTTAACTTTGTCAACTTCTCTCCACGTTTCCTCTTCATACAGTCTTCATACTGTCTTGAAATTTCTATTGAAAATTATGACTTTTGTATTGACTAAAGGATATTTTTATTTCGAGTAGCGTTGAAATATTATCCTTGCTTTGCTCATTCATGTCTTCATCAGTTCCGCCTTGAAGTTTTTGGGCTTAAAGTGTATTCGAAATTACCACTGTTGCGTAATAGATTGAATAACATTTTTAGTGCTGATATTTTTGATTCTCTCAAATGGTTGGTTTGATTGTGAAGCTTTCATTTGTAGTTCTTTTACTGAACAGCAACATCATCATCATCATCGGTAGCACAAACTTCAGATAGCCAAAGTGAACTATTCGACCTATTCTCCATATGTATGCCATGTAGATTGTACAGTTTGCTGACTAAAGTCTTACTTTATGGCTGTGAAACATGGCCGATGAAAGTTGAAGATATTCGTCGGTTATTAGTTTTCGATCATAGGTGTCTTCGAAACATTGCTCGTATATCGTGGGACACCCGAGTGAGTAACGCTAGATAAGAATGGTAGATCAATAGATGAAGTGCTGAAACTTCATCAGTTGAGATGGTTGGGACATGTGATGCGTATGCCCAACCACCGATTGCCTCGTCGAGCTTTGTTTTATAGTGTAGGAATAGGTTGGAAGAAAGTTAGGGGCGGCCAAACCAAAACATGGCACAAGTCCATGAAGACATTGACGAGTGGACTGAGCCATGTCGGTAATTGTCGACTACCTGGTTGGGGTCCGTGAGATGATAATAATCGATGGTTAGAGACCTTGAATGACATGGCTCAAAATCGTTCGCAATGGCGCCAGTGCATTTATTCTTTGTGTTCTCTCAAATCTTAATCTTCTGAATTCTTCAACACCTCCAGTTTTGACTTTCTAAACTTTTCCCACTGAATCATACTTCGTGAATAATATCTTTGTAATCCTAACCTCTCCGATTACTTCTAATACCTTTACTACCTCTTCTAATATTGGATTTGAATTGACAATTACATCTCTGTGCTGATTCGGTGGTATGGCAACATGAACTGATGTACATGCGTACGTACAAAGTTCTACGTTGCATCTGACTTACTGACTGTAGCTTGTACTATTACCGACGATTTTGATTGGTTGTTGTTGTTGACCTTAAACCTGTTTATTGTTTGCACTTTTATCTTGATTGTATCCCTCCCCCACTTATTGATCTGTTTCTTGATTCTATTTCTTATCCAGCTGTTGAATAATAATAATAATAATAATAATAATAATAATAATAATAATACTCATTATTATGATAAATTAATTTAATTTTTAGATATATGAAATATTTATATCCATATGAATGTGAAACACTTGGTTTAAGTTCACCAAATGAATTACAAGCTGCAATCGATGGTAATCGACGTGAAGCTAGACGTAGTTCTTATACATTTGATTATCCAATGATGAATGCACCGAATACATCACGTTCTACTTCACCAGCCAGTGTAACCACAGCTGAAGCAGTCACCACCATCACAACAACAGCAACAACGATGAACACAACGACGACAAACCACCAACAAACACCAACACTAACAACCAATATTACTATTCCAGCTAACATAATGACACCGACGACGACTACTACTAATACCAGTACATCGTCATTGTCCAGTTCTTTTATCTATCCAAATGGTTTAGGCTTTCCTTATGAAATCAATTCCGATATGAATCAATTATTAGCAAATATTGCTGGAGATTCAACTAACACCACCACAACAACAACCGCCACAACAACGCCATTTTGTACAAATCATTTAAATTTCACAACACCATTTGCACAATTCAATCCATTTCTTACCATTCCAACTGGATGCTCTTCTACGGCATTGGAAAACAATGCATTCGGATTACAACCACCAATCACTGCTATGATGACATCCACTACCACCACCACGTCGTCGTTATCAACAGCAACCACTGTATTGTCGAATCCAATGAATTTCTTCCCCGCACATTTGTTACCATCTATGATAGCAGCTAGTCATCCAAATTTCTCTATCATTGGTGGTGGATCACATTTTCAAGGTTTCAATACAGCATCATTGAATCATTCCGATGATGTATGCATTCCATCAGCATCGGCATCGGCATCCTCTTCATCGTCGTCATCGACGTCGTCTATGATACAACAGCCTGGTTTATCAGTAAATAATAATAATAATAATAATTTCACTGATCCTAATAATGCAATGGCAGCAGCTGTCGCCGCAGCAACATTATTCAGTGCAGGATTTCCAACATTACCTGGAGGGTTTACAGCTACGCATACGCCAACAACACCACCGCCAGTACCGATGTCGCTGCCGTTTCCGCCGTCGCTGACGCCGTCATTACAATCGCCAGTATCAATACCAGTAATATTACCGCCAACAGCAACATCACCAACATCCACAGTAGTAACAACGCTGAATAATAATTCATATCTTGTAAATAATACTACATTAATGATGAATCAATCTGATGAATATGTGAAATTTCCTTTATTCAATAGTATACGTCAACAAATGAATCATTCAAATTCTACTACTACTGATGGTGGATTAAATGATAGTGGATTAAGATCGAAGGTGAGTAATAAGTACATAGATTATATGGTAATAGTATCTGGAGTAGTGGCAGTAGTAGTCGGAGTGTTAGTTGTCGGTGTAGTAGTAGTAGTAATAGTAGTAGTCGGAGTAGTAGTAGTAGTAGTAGTCGGAGTAGTAGTAGTCGGAGTAGTAGTAGTAGTAGTAGTAGTAGTAGTAATAGTCAGAGTAGTAGTAGTAGTAGTCGGAGTGTTAGTTGTCGGAGTAGTAGTAGTAGTAGTAGTAGTAGTCGGAGTAGTAGTAGTAGTAGTAGTAGTAGTCGGAGTAGTAGTAGTAGTAGTAGTCGGAGTAGTAGTAGTAGTAGTAGTAGTAGTAGTAGTAGTAGTAGTAGTAGTAGTAATAGTCAGAGTAGTAGTAGTAGTAGTAGTAGTAGTAGTAGTAGTAGTAGTAGTAGTAGTAGTAGTAGTAGTAGTAGTAGTAGTAGTAGTAGTAGTAGTAGTCGGAGTGGTAGTAGTGTGAGTAGTAGTAGTAGTAGTAGTAATAGTAGTAGTCGGAGTAGTAGTAGTAGTAGTAGTAGTAGTCGGAGTAGTAGTAGTAGTAGTAGTCGGAGTAGTAGTAGTAGTAGTAGTAGTAGTAGTAGTAATAGTCAGAGTAGTAGTAGTAGTAGTCGGAGTGTTAGTTGTCGGAGTAGTAGTAGTAGTAGTAGTAGTAGTAGTAGTAGTAGTAGTAGTAGTAGTAGTATTAGTAGTAGTCGGAGTGGTAGTAGTGTGAGTAGTAGTTGTAGTAGTAGTATTAGTAGTAGTCGGAGTGGTAGTAGTGTGAGTAGTAGTTGTAGAAGTAGTAATAGTAGTAGTCGGAGTAGTAGTAGTAGTAGTCGGAGTAGTAGTAGTAGTAGTAGTCGGAGTAGTAGTAGTCGGAGTAGTAGTAGTAGTAGTAGTAGTAGTAGTAGTAATAGTCAGAGTAGTAGTAGTAGTAGTCGGAGTGTTAGTTGTCGGAGTAGTAGTAGTAGTAGTAGTAGTAGTAGTAGTAGTAGTAGTAGTATTAGTAGTAGTCGGAGTGGTAGTAGTGTGAGTAGTAGTAGTAGTAGTAGTAGTAATAGTCAGAGTAGTAGTAGCAGTAGTCGGAGTGTTAGTTGTCGGAGTAGTAGTAGTATGTTGATTATCGTATGTAAGTATCAACCGAAGAAATGAAATGTCATATAGTGATTTTTCTAATTTACGTTTTAAACATGAACATAATCATGGTGTATAGAATGGCTTGGACATGTGTTATGTATACCGATCCATTGACTGCATCGATGAGTGAGTGATGTTGTCTGATATAGGAGTAGGTTAGAAGGTAGCTATGGATGGCCAAACTAAAAACATGTTACAAATTCATGAAGTCATTAACAACTAAGCTGAGACATGTAAATATGTAAACGTGTAAACTTTTTCTCTTTTTAAATTTATTTTATTGGATTATACTTCTCGAATGATATCGTCAAACCCTTATCTTTTCCATTACTGCCAATCCTGCTACTACTACCTCAACTACTGTGGGATTCGGACTAACGACTTCATCTTTGAACTGATGTATGTACTTTTGAAGTTCTACATTGTAACTGACTGACTGACTGAGGACTTCTCAACGATGAGCATTTACGATATGCATGGGATCGAATGAACAATTTTCAAATCTCTTTCAGACTACTGGATAAAATTGATTAGATAACTGTTAGAAACCAGGAAGCACTGGACGGCTGTTTCATCCCAGTATGGGACTCGTCAGTAATGCGCTTCAGTGACTCCCACACCCCGAAATCGAACTCACGACTTTCAGTCTTGTGCGCGAACGCTTAATCTGTCAACCACTGAGCTGGTATCTAAAGTATCAAGCAACTTCACCCATTGCCTTCGGTGGTTATTGCCTTCACAGAACAGGGTTGAAATATACTGGTTACAGATTATCACCAGAATCTCGAGAATTTCTTGACGAATCTAGTCACCACTGGGTACATTTTACGATATTTTCGATTAGAGTTATGGGGATCCTTGTTCATTCATCGAAATCATGAATCGATCATTTTTAGACCAATATTAGAAGACTAGAATCACTAGATGGCCGTTTTGTCCTAGTATGGAGCTCACTATCAGTATGCATCCATACTGTACGCTTACGGGAATCAATTCATGATTTCAATGATTGAACAAGAATCTTCATAACTCTATAATGAATTATGTCGTATACAAATAAAGATATTATTTGAAATCATCAATCAATCATTGTTAGACCACCATTAGAAGAAACCTGGAAGCACTGAAAGACGGCCGTTACGTCCTGGTATGGGACTCATCGGCAGTGCACATCTACGACTCTTGCACCTCATAGGATTCGAACCCAGGACCTTCGGTATTGTGCGCAAACTTCTGGATCACTCATCCGGCATCCAGCAGTGTTAATGTCTAATTCTGATTGATCTAGGGATTTTGCGCGAACTCCATTGGTCACTTCTTCTCACTAGAGGTCACGCAAAATCCCTAGATCAATCAGAGCTGGACATTAAAACCGCTGGATGTCGGCCCAATGGTTCATAGGTTAGGCGTTCGCGCACAATACTCAAGGTACAGGGTTCGACTCCTGCGAGATGCAGGAGTCGTGGATGTGCACTACCACTGATGAGTCCCATACCAGGACGAAACGGCCGTGTTTCAGTGCTTCCAGATTTCTTCTAATGATGGGGGTCTAGTAACAATGATTGATTGATGATTTCAAATGTGTGTCATTGACTAATCTTCATAACTTTAGCTGAAAAAAATATTATTGAATATTGATAATGTTTTTGTTTTTTAAAAACGATTTTTTTCAAATTCTGATTCTCTGTTTTTATTATTATTATTATTACTAATATTATTAGAATAAGTTAATTCAACATAACTTGGATAATGATGATGATGATGATGATTGTCAATTCACTACATCAAGTTTACCATTGAATTTAACTGCAAACGAAACGAATCTCATCAAATTAGATGAAGAAGGTATGTTCAACTATGTATTTTTGTGTGTGTGTGTGTGTGTGCATGTGTGCATGTGTGTGTTGTACATGATTGTACATTATCGTGGAATAATAATAGTAATAATATTAATTAAGAACTATGTAAGAATGTAAGAAGTAGGGGTAGATAGGTAGGTAGTTCAAGCTTCAATTGTTCGAATTATTGAAATGTAGAATCTAAAATGAGGTTTGGACTGACGAGTAACTAACTGTCTAGGTAGGTTAGATATGAGCTATTGCCCAGTTGAAATCCGAAACAAGTGATTTTGGTAAATAACGGTTCTAATGAATATGAATATAAATATACATCATTACCTAAACAAACATTACCTACCACTTAGTTATTACACCAATAATTGTTCAATCAAATCAAATCTACAACAGCAACAAATAAATGCTATTCTATCCCTCCTCGATAGATCAGATTCGTTCGACAGATAATATTTGATTGCTTTATAACACAGAGTGTTTTCAATTCTGGAAGAGTGCTTCAATTCACAATAAAGATGGACAATTCCTGTCAATGCAAGCAACCGACACAATCAAAAGAGGAACAAATCACTATGGTTGTCGTCATGACTAAGTATCAGCTTAAACAACATAAATGCAGTTCAAAACGAAACATAGAAACTCAGTGAAGGTAGAAGCAATAGAAACTATGATAATAAAATACAAATATTATCATCTCAAAATGGAATCGAACAGATTAACAAAATGTACAACTGAAGGAATCAATAAGGACAAATTACAAGTGTGTATACATGGAGGGATTTTCACAAACAAAACCTTCAAAAAATGGATCTTACACTTAATCCTCTGACGTATACAACTTGTTTCATTTGTGTTCTCGTCTAATCAATACAATTAAATAAGTCAAAGTTAAAGAAACATGGAAGAAAACTAGTGAATAGTTGGAGTAGTAGTGGTAGTAGTAGTAGTAGTAGTAGTAGTAGTAGTAGTAGTAATAGTAGTAGTAGTAGTAGTAGTAGTAGTAGTAGTAGTAGTAGTAGTAGTAGTAGTAGTAGTAGTAGTAGTGGGAGTAGTAGTATTAGTAGTTATCGGAGTAGTAGTAGTAGAATATAGGATGAGCAACCAGGCGGTGGTAACGTCTCAAGAGATACGAGAACGAATCTTCGAGGGCGCATAAGTTACATTAAAATTTTAGGTGCACCTTGTTGAAAAGTGCTAAATAATACAAAACTTGGGGCAGAAACTTGGAAAACTACTAAAGCCATCATCCAGAAGAAACAAGTATTTACTAAAAGTTGTCTACGCAAAATAATTCGGATTCGTTGGTCAGACATCATCGCCAACAACCTATTATGAGAGAGAACAACCTAGATTCCAGTGGTGGAAGAAATCAGGAAGAAGCGGTGAAAATGGATAGGACACACATAGAGGCGCGAAAGCCTAACCTCTGGATCGCTGTTTTAATGTCAAACTCTGATTGATCTAGGGATTTTGCGCGACCTAATCCATTTGCCTACACCCGACAGGGTTAAACTCCATTGGTCACGTCTTCTCAACTAGAACTCAAAGAATTACCTCACCAAGCTAGTCACTTGTGAGCACATGTTACGATATTTTCTGTTAGAGCTTTGGAGATTTGTGTTTTTACACATTTGAAATCATAAATCAATGGTTAGGCGTTCGCACACAATACCGAAGGTCCCGGGTTCGAATCCTGTGGGGTGCAGGAGTCATGGATGCGCACTGCTGATGAGTCCCATACCAGTGCTTCCAGGTTATCTAACAATGATTGTTTGATGATTTCAAATGCGTACAAAAAAAACACAAATCTCCAAAAACTCTAACTCTGAAAACTTTGAATTATACTAATTAAGTTGAGAAAACACATATATATATTACACATATAAACATTGAAGTTATTATCTAGATATAGGTAGGTATGTTATTATTAACTCATAGTTTCGAACATTTTGTTTATTCTTTCTTTCATAAATGATGACTATTGAACATTGAAAGAATTTGAATTTTTTTTTAACTTTTATCATTCATTTAAACAAAACTGACCAATTGAAATAATTTAACCAGTATTGTGTTTCTTTTGAAATTTTTTCCCTTTTCAAAAAAGGTTCCTTGTATTTAGATAATGATTGTAGATCTTCATTAATGTTGGTAGAACATGACAAAAAATTGAATCTTGACAATGACTCGTTTACATTGCATTCAAATGATCAACTTATTCAAAAAGATGGTGGTAAAAATAATCATTTATTGAATAGTTATCATCATCATTCTCAACATCCTCAACATCAACACCGTCGTCGTCAGCATCATCAACATCAACACCAGTATAAAGAAACGACAACTTCCGCCGCCTCCAATGATGATGATGGTGATGAGGCTGATCACGACGATCCTCATGATAATGATGCAGATGATTGTTCGACTAGTGTTCACAATGAACAACAACACATAGAATTAAGATGTCAATCGAATTCATCTGGAGATATGAATAAACGTGAACAAACTACTACTGCTACTAGTAGTAGTACTAGTAGTAACACGACTACTACTACTACTAATAGTAATAATAATAACAGATTACCACAGGCAAATTTCACTTTTGAAAATGATGATCCCAGCATTAAAACAGCTGCACAGGTTTGTTTATTTTTTATTGAATCAATGATAATTAGTTAATATTTTTGAGATCAGTGTTTGTAACACATTTGAAATCATGAATTAATCATTGTTAGATTGTGGTGCGAGCTACTTATAAGTAGTATATGACTCCAGTGTCAACGTAATGTCTGGTGGCAGCAGAAGATGGGGAAAGATCAAGAAAGGAAGAAGAGTTAGAACACAATGGAATTTGTGTATGAAACGCATGAATGGATTGATGTTTTGCAACAGGAACAGCAGTCCAGTTCGATATGATGAACTGATATTTTGCAAATGAACGATTTAAGATATGGTTTTCCGATTTTACTGAGTAACTCTGTACAATCCGGTTGCCCAACCTGTGTTCACGTTCACTACAAGATGACCGCCATTAGAAAGCTGTAAGCATTGAAAGACGGTTGTTTCGCTCTGGTAATAGGACTCACATCAGTAGTGCACGTATCCACGACTCATGCAACTTGAATCTTACAGGTTCTAAAAATGACTGCTTCATGATTTTATTGTGTAAAAACAATGATCTCTTTAATTCTGATTGAAAAATATCGTACAATGTAGTGACTAGCTTCGTGAAGAAATTCTCAGAGTTTTAGTGAGGAGACGTGACCAGTGGAGTTCAACCCTGTTCTGTGTAGGCAGTAACTACTGAAGACAAATGGATAAGGTAGCACAAAATCCCTAGATTTATTAAAAGTTAGCCATTAAACTACTGGATACCGGTATAATGCATGCTAAAATACAAATATTAACATCACAAAAGGGAATGGAACAGACTAACAAAATGTACAACTGAATGAATCAATAAGGACAAATTAAAAATGTATGCATGGAAGGACTTTTTTCACAAACAAAGTCTTCAAAAAACGGATCTTACAGATTACTTTTCAACAGTACACATTCCCTAGGAGCTTGATAACCTTCTGAATTCCTCATAATCTCTACCTTTCTCCTCCTAAATTTATCTCACTGAATTATACTTCTCGAATCATATCTTCTCTCCATAATCTTCTCCATTACTGCTAATACTTCTATTGTCGCTATCACTCTTGGATTTGAACTGACAGTTGCACCTCTGTGCTGATCTGGTATGACTGTAGTGCCTCCACATAAACTTGAGTTCGCTCATATTTAATTTGATTACGCCTTTCGATTAACTTATGTAACCAAGCTATTTGTATAGCAACAACTCATATGTATCATTGGTATTTTTTATTATCTGGTTTGTATGAGCTTATACGACTGAGTATTGTTTACGCCTACGCGCTTATTCATCCTTTTCGATTTAATGTTAATTTCTTAATTTCTCCATGAACTCACATGATTTGTATCGCTTGCTTTTGACCCTGTCAATCATTCGTCGCTTTTATTCATGTGTGTGTACGCCTATTTCGCTTGTCATATGTCTGTCTTATTTTTGGTCTGACTATATATTCTTAGTCATATTCTATTACTTTGAGTTGGCTCTTTGCCTTCTCCAACGCGATTCGCCTATCCATTCGCTTCCTTCGTTTTATTCACTGCTTCTCCGCTTCGCTTTGTGGTGTGTCCCGAATAAACGTATTCATTACTACGAATTCATCTTCTGATTTATAAACCGTCAGATGCTACTTAGTGACGATCGTCTGGACGAGTTAATTACCAAGCTTAAGAACACGCAGTAGACAGACACACTACATGACAACCTGAACTGATGTACTTACGTACGAAGTTCTGCTTTGTATCTGTCTGTCTGTCTGTCTGTGCTAGGAGCTTGAACATGGCAATGAGGATAACGAATCTGACTTCTTCTAACGTTCAGTTAAAAATAATACTATATTTAGATATATATATCTCATTTCTAATAACTATGATTACATGTAATCATCATCATGTTAATTGTATTTTCCTTTTTATTCCAGGTGGCATGTCAACAATTATGGGCTGCTGCGGCTGCTGCCGCCGCTGGTCTACAACATTGTAGTCATCAAATAAAAACATCGGAAAAAAACACCTATGGAATGTTAACAGGAAATTTCAATGGACTATGCAAATCGAATCATGCATCTTCACAACAAATTGAAAGTTCCAACAGTATTCCTGCTGCTAGCACTACTACTACTACAACTACTACAACTACTCCAACTAGTACTCAAACTACTACTACTATTCATAATAATATCAGTAGTAATAACAAACAAACATCACATTCAACATATTCCAAATCCTTAACATCATCAACATCAGGCAAAAAAACTCATTCACGTACACCAAGTCATTTAGATACACCAAATGCTAAAATCCCAAAATTATCATTCATGAACAACAACACTAGTGGAATTGGTGCGCATGAATCCAATGGAAAACATTGTGGAACAAATTTATCAAAAAAATTATCTGATTTACGTAAACAAAATGAAGCTATTTCTATGTCAGCTAATTTTCATTTTAATAATAATACTACGAATACTACTAATAATAGTAGTGTATCAGTAGGTGCAAATAATAATCATTTATCAGCTGCTCAATTATCAATGGTAACACAGAATTTTCGAATTCAAACACAACCTGGTAAGTTTTTAATGAAAAGTAATTTATGATTGATTGATTTATGATGTCAATGATTATAGTTTTAATTACTATTGCTGATAGAAATTGATGGCGTTTGTTTTTTAAACATGAATGACAAACCAATGGTTTGTCGAATTTATTTCAAGACAATATTAAGTAATCATTAATAAAAACTTTGTTTTATTGTTAGACCAGCAATAGAAAATTGTAAGCACTGGATAGCCGCATCGTTCTGGTATGTTTTTGATCAGCATGACTCATGCACCTAGCAGGATTCGGACCCCGGGCTTGTACGCCAAACCTCTGGAACATTAGGCCGGTATCCAGCAGTGTTCATGTCTAACTCTGATCAATCTAGGAATTTTGGGCAACCTCATCCATTTGTGGTCGGTAGTTACTGGAAGCGATGATTGATGATTTCAAATGTGTAAAAAAAAACGCAAACCTCCAAAACTCTGCCCCATAATATCGTAACATGTGCTCACTAGGGACTAGCTTCGTGAGGAAATTCTCGGAGTTCTAGTTGAGAAGATGTGACCAGTGGAGTTCAACCCTGTCTGGTGTATGCGTAGATGAGGTCGCGCGAAATCCCTAGATCAATCAGAGTTTTAGACATTAACACCATTGGATGCTGGCTCAGTTGTCCGATGGTTAGGCCTTCGCGCACAACACCGAAGGTCCTGTGTTCTAATCGTGCGTGATGCAGGATTCGTGGATGATCACTGCTGATCAATCCCCTACCAGGACGAAACGGCCGTCCAGTGCATCCAGGTTTCTAACTGTGGTCCAACAATGATGATGATTTCAAGTGTGTAAAAACACAAGCCTCCAAAACTCTGCCCCCAAAAAAGAAACTTTGTTCCACTGTTAGACCACCAATACAAAACTTGAAGCACTGGATAGCGGCTTCGTTCTCCTGTGGTTCTCATCAGTAGCACGTATTCACTACTCCTGCACCTCGCAGGATTCGAACCCAGGACCTTCGGTCTTGTATGCCTAACCTCTGGACCACTAGGCTGTCACCCAACAGTGTTAATGTTTAACTCTGATCAGTCTAGAGATTTTGGGCAACCTCACCCATTTGTCTTCGCTGGTTACTGCCTAAACCTGACGGGGTTGAACTTCATTGGTCATGTTTTCTCATCCGAACACAGAGAATTTCTTCACGAAGCTATTCACCAATGAGTGCATTTTTAATTAGTACACATTTCGTTGGATAAAATTCAGTCAATACTAAGACTGAGAAGGAGATCTTATCAAGTGTTAAAAACTCTACTGCCATTACCACGGAAAAGTCTTCAACAGAGTGTTTTTGAACTGAATGAAAGATTCACTCGATACCCAACTTCCAGATCAGCAGGGTAGATTCCGTAAATATCGATGTAAAGCAAAGCAATGACAGCATTTCTACAAATGAAGAACATTTTCAATTCAAAACAACAGTCAACCAACACAAAAAAATCACAGAATTTTCAATGCGAACGTTAAAACCATTCTAATGTAGGCAGCGGAAAGTTGGCGAATCGCGAAAACCATCATCCAAGTGTTTATTAACAGTTATCTGAGAATCCATAAGCCAAACACCATCAGCAAAAAACTACTGTGCCAGAGAACAAACCAGATTCCAGAGGAGGAGGAAGAAATTTATAACAAGCCACTGGAGATGAATAAAACACCTATTGAGGAAAGCACCCCCAATTGAGGTCACAAGACAAGCCCACACTTGTAATCTTCAAGGTGAAAGGCGAACAGAAAGACCAAAGAACACAACTTTGAGAATCGGAGAAATATATGAAAAGAATGCATAGCGATTGGATAGAACTAGAAAGAAGAGTGATGGATAGAGTTGGTTGCAGAACGCTGATCGTAGCTTATGCTAAATGAAAGTTAACAGACGTAAGAGATGAACAGACTCTTAGACTTAAACAAAGATGATATTGATTACCAGTTAATCGTTATTCAGCGTATACTATTTAACGGATTAGACCATTTAATAATCAATAATTAACTCACTAAAACCGAAATATTCACATCTCAATAAAATTATTTGATTTGTTGCATCGAATAACTACGAATTCACTATTCAATATCTCAGATTATTGAAGTATATTTAAACATAGCACACAAAAAAGCATTGTTTCAAAGAAGTTGAATTTTGAACAAAAACAGAATCCAAGATGAGTTCATTTCAATCTTAATGAGACTAATCAGTCGAATTCATCATTATCCAAATGTTGATTTCAACATCTGAAATCGAAACTATAGTTAGCGATCGATCAATGTATAGGGTGTTTTGAAGCAGACGATACTAAGTTTAAATGTCAATGTGAATATTAACAGTGGGTTGCTGACAAGGCTAAAATGAAACAAAATGTCTTTCATAAATTCCGGCGATGGCTAAATCTGTCTTTTCTATAAAAAAGCAACCTTGTGTGACCTTCATGAGATGCCCATACATCAGAAAAGGTTGATTGAAATTTAGCAATGAGATAATTTGAATCGTTACTACTCCGACTATTACTACTACTCCGACTACTACTACTACTACTCCGACTACTACTACTACTACTACTACTACTACTACTACTACTACTACTACTGTGGTGTGAGCTACTTATAAGTAGTATATGACGCGAGTGTAAACGTAATGTCTGGCAGCAGAAGATGAGGGAAGATCAAGAAAGGAAGAGTGGGAACACAATGGAATTTGTATGAAACGCATGAATAAGTGAAATGTCAGACAATGGATTGATGATTTGTAAATTAACCGTTTACGATATGGTTTTCCTATTTTACCAATTAACTCTGTAATTTGCGATAAATACAGTTTGGTTGTCCTCACCTGTGTTCTCCTTCACTACACTACTACTACTCAGACTACTCCGACTACTACCGCTACTACTACTCCGACTACTACTACTACTACTACTACTACTACTACTACTACTACTACTACTACTACTACTACTACTACTACTACTACTACTACTACTACTACTACTACTACTACTACTACTACTACTACTACTACTACTACTACTACTACTACTACTACTACTACTACTACTACTACTACTACTACTACTACTACTACTACTACTACTGTAGTGAACTAGAACACAGGTGAGGGCAACCGAATTGTATTTAACGAAAATTACAGAGTTACTCAGTAAAACTGGAAAACCATATCGTAAATTGTTCATTTGCAAAACATCAGTCCATCCTATGGAACTGGACTGTTCCTGTTGCAAAACATCAATCCATTGTCACTCACTATTCATGCGTTTCATACAAATTCCATTGTGTTCTAACTCTTCCTTTCTTAATCTTCTCCCATCTTCTGTTGCCAGACATTACATTGACACTCACGTCATATACTGCTTATAAGTAGCTCGCACCACACTACTACAACTATTTCCAATAATAATAATAATAATTATTATAACAATCATAATAACGATTTAAATTTAAATGATCAAAATAGAAGCAACATGATTATTCTACTTTTTTAACATAAGTATTTATGACCTTCTATATCTTTTTTTTTGAAGAAAACTAAACAATAAATTTAGCCTTTCGAATAATTTGTTTCAATCAAATAAACAAAAGAAAATCATTTAGAGAAAAAAAATTGTCACCTTTTTCTGCAATTTGCATTAGTCAAAGTTTTATTTTAGGTCAAGTTAATAATATTGATAATAAGGAATTTTTATTTTTGTTTTAATACTTTATAAAAATTAAATTTTCAAATCAACCTCTACAAAAATTAACCTTAACTCCATTTTTGTACATTTTGTTGTACAGTTAAACAAACTAAGTATATTCTCGTTTATTCAGTAAATATGCATGCATAAACTACGCATTAATACAATCGTGCACACACACACACACACACGCACATTGTAGTACGTTGTAAATAAATAAATATAATAAATATGCTTATAAATTATTCGAACAAATGACAAACTTTTTTTTTCTTTTGTCGTTATTGTCCTTCTTGTTCAATGTTCAATGTTCAATATTCAATATTCAATTAACCTCTGAGGCTATTTTTTTAAAAAAAACAATATATTAAGTATCGTTTTCTTGTAATCTAGTGTTTTTTTTTCTTAAGGTAAAAGAGAAAAAATTACAAAAAAAAAAACAAACTAACATTTTAAATAAATGTAAACAACTGTTTTTTTTTATTTTAAAAGTAAAAATTAAGAAATTGAATACAACAACAACAAAATAAATGGCATACTTTATGACTATTATTATTATTATTATTTGTTTAAATCGGAAACCACCCGAAAGTATTGTGTTGTACTTTCGAGGTTTATGGTTGATATATCTATCTATCTATCTATCTATCTATCTATCTATCTATCTATCTATCTATCTATCTATCTATCTATCTATCTATCTATCTATAGATATATATATATATATACAGATATATATATATCCTAAAAACCATAATGATAATAATCCTTGTAATTGAAACAACAGTCAACTTTGTTATGTCCTTCTTCTTTTGCTTATTCTATTACTATCAGTATATCGGTCACATACATACATGGGTGTACGTATGTGACCGACAAAAACACTAGAACGAAACATCAATAAAGGGTCGCTTTATATATACATATAGATAAATAGATAGATAGATATATCATGAAAATAAAACTTACTTATTTGTATTATATATAGACATATATATATATATAAATATATGGACGCGCGCGCGCGAAATTTGCATATAGGTAGGTAGGTGATAATGATTATGTGAACATGAAATTAAAACACGAAAAAAAATACATAAAAAAAATTGTACATTGAATCGATTAGTTGTGTAAATATATATGTATTTGTTTTTTGATTGATAGTGTTGTACACAAAGAACTTGTAATTTTTATATTGATATATATATATATATATATATCAGTAGTATAATAGTGACATTTTATGTTTTATGTTGATGATAAACAGCTGATTCATAACATTATTATTGATGTGATAAATTTTTTTTTCCTAGCTTCTGATATTGAACATGTAAAATAGTGAAAAATATTAACAAGAGAGAGGAAACAGAAATTCAAAATTAAAGTATCAGTAATTTAGTAAAATACTGCTACTATCACTACTACTACTACTTATAGTAAATAGTAGTTAAAAATCTACAATTTTCGGGGTAAAAAAGATTAATTTCACTATTGAACAATCAAAGAGATGCGTTACATTTTATTTTTTTTTAGTGGTGGTCATTCTTCACTCTCTCACACACACACACTCTCTCAATTTCTTAATGGCTATTAATTTACAACAAATCTTCACAATTGAACAAGTATCATGTTTTTTCGTTTAAATGTAGATGTTGTTGTTATTGATACTGATTGATTTATAAGTATGAAACAAATCATGCATTGAACATGTTCATTTGTTTTAAAACAAAAAAACATTATTTTTAAACGAAATAATAATCATGTTTTTCAAATTTATTATTATTATTAATTATGTATGTTATATTACAACATTTAGTGAACAAAAATAAGGAAAATAAATTTGTGTTAACATATTTAAACAAAGAAAATGAATATGAGCAAAAAATTAATTATCACAAATTATTATTATGTATAATAACTGTTAAAAATAAATTGAGTTATTAATGAACTAGTATACTTTCATTTAATTAAGTAGTTTGTTTTAGTTAGTTAAAAAAACATTTTTCGTTGAACTATTGATAATTGAACATTGTTGATATTTATTAGTAGGATAGAAAAACAAAGTGGAAAATAAAAGCGCGGGAAAATCAAACGCATAAATATAAAGCACATACACACACATACACAGAAAAGACAATTTTTATAAACACAAAATTAATCAGTCACTGAAAAAATAAGAAGACAATTTCCCAGAAAAAAGGAATTTTTACCACAAAAAAATAATCACTTATATTTATGTTTGCTTAAATAAAATATTGTTGATTGTTAAAATTTATGATAAAAATGTACTGCGCTTAAACATGTGTAAATAAATTATATTTGTTTGTTAAGGAAAAAATATTAAAATAAGTAAGAGGAACATGACGATTAATAATTGAATTGACATAAACAACGAAAAACTACATGAAACTAATTGAAGAAGAATGTATGCAATATACTGGTAGACTATTTGATTTATTTCAATTGGTTAGTTGGACAGGAATATTGAAATTTTAGGGCAGAGTTTTGGAGGTTTGCGTTTTTTCCCCTTTTTTTTACACATTTGAAATCATCAATCAGTCATTGTTAGACCACCATTCGAAGAAACCTGGAAGCACTGAAAGACGGCCGTTTCGTCCTGGTATGGGATTACTCATCAGTGGCAGCGCGCATCCACGACTCCTGCTCCTCGCAGGATTTGAACCCGGGACCTTACCATCGGACCACTGGGCCGGCATCCAATGGTGCTAATGTCTAACTCTGATTGATATAGGGATTTTGCGCGACCTCATCCATTTGTCTTTTGTAGTAGTTACTGCCTACACCCGACAGGGTTGAACTCCATTGGTCACGTCTTCTCGACTGGAACTCCGAGAATTTCCTCACGAGGCTATTCACTAGTGAGCACTGTTAAGATATTTTTGCGCAGAGTTTTGGAGGTTCGCGTTTTTTTTATACATTTGAAATCTTCAATCGATCAATGTTAGACCACCACTAGAAACCTGGAAGCACTGAACGGCCGTTTCCTCCTGTTATAGGACTCATCAGCAGTGCGCATCCACGACTCCTGCTCCTCGCAGGCGAACGCCTTACCATTGAAATTGTTTGTGGATATGTTAAATTCAAGTGGAAAACTGTTCAATTATACTTTGGTTTTCATCATACTCTAAATATATAAATGTTGGTATAAGATTTAATGAATTTGTGAATGGGATGGGATACTACATAAACTGGACCAGGTGATTTTATGAGGACACCACTCCTTGACTATTTAACCAGCAGGTCTTATTCACATCATTCGATCCAGTCCCATGGTAGCCCATGACCAACCGTAGGTTAACACGATATTCTTTCCACCAGGATCCTGATGCTCAAGTGTACCGCTGATTTGGAGTCAAGTTTTTCCAACTCTTCTAGATAGATAGATACTTCGTACCTATAACCTGGTTTGAGCCCCACTTTTAATCCTCTTAACTTCTTCGAAAACATCCTGATCATGAAAATGTAGTGAGTATCAGCAGGACATTTGTGGTCAAATTATTTTTCTTAAACCCTGTTAATTACGTATCTATGATTTGTCTAGTTATAATTACAATTTCAATGTTCATTTGAACTAGAAACAAAAGACCATATAACAGTTGATTTGTCTAGTTTTTGACACAATTTATAACAGAAGATTTGTAGTACATCTCAAATGACTAACAATCTTTATTGTTGGTTAAGTAATTAATTACCTTACTCAACCTTTGCTAGTATTCAAATAACATGATTCAATTTGTTTTACAAAAACATTTTGCCTACTTAATAAATATTCAATAGTATATATTTTATAACTTAATTTTTAGGTGCTCCAATGGGTCTACCACAAAATGCTATGGTTGTTACTATGGAAATGGGAAATCTATTATATCAAGGTGTATTATTTGGACAATTAAAACGATAACTTTGTGATAGACATTGTAGAATTCATCTCCCTGTTTTCTTCTACATTTCTTTTTATGATTTTTTCCTTGTTTGAATCTCCTCCTCTCTTCTATTCCCCCCCTAAGCTCGATCAACAAACACATCAATACATGGAACTTACTATCTTATCAGTTTTCTAATTATATAATATAATTTTGTCTTATCTTACATGCATTTGACATAGGCTAGCTGTATTATTATTATTATTGTTATTTAATTATTTTTTCTAGCTAGTTTAATATTGCCCATTGTTGTACATACATACATACGTACATAAATTAATCTATCTATCAATATACATAAGTTTATATATATATTTAGTTATATAAAAAGTTAATTTTTTGCTTAAAAAACAAACAGGAAGTTAAAGATTTGTGGTGGGTATGGGTTAACTCGTTCTATGACCGGTGTCAGGCAAGATTGCACACTCTCACCCTTTCTTTTTCAGTCAGTCAGATGCAACGTAGAACTTCGTACATAAGTACATCACAGTTCATGTCGCCATACCACATCAGCACAGAGAAGTAATCGTCAATTCAAATCCAATAGTAGAAGAGGTAGTAAGGGAATTAGAAATAATCGGAGAGGTTAGGATTAGAAGATACTACTCAAGAAGTATGATTCAGTGAGAAAAGTTTAGAGAGTCGAAACTAGAGGGGTTGAAGAATCCAGAAGATTAGCATTTGAGAGAACACAGAGAATAAATGCACCGGCGCCATTGCGAACGATTCTGAGCCATGTCATTCAAGGTCTCTAACCATCGATTATTATCATCTCGCGGACCCCAACCAGGTAGTCGACAATTACCGACATGGCTCAGTCCACTAGTCAATGACTTCATGGATTTCTGCCATGTTTTGGTTTGGCCGCCCCTAACTTTCTTCCAACCCATTCCCACACTACAAAACAAGGCTCGACGAGGCAGCCGGTGGTTGGGCATACGCAACACATGTCCCAACCACCTCAACTGGTGAAGTTTCAATACTTCATCGATTGATCTGCCATTCTTACCTAGCACCCGATTCCTAATAACAGCGTTGCTCACTCGGGTGTCCCACGATATACGAGCAATGCTTCGAAGACACCTATGATCGAAAACCAGTAACCTACGAATATCTTCTACTCTCACTGGCCATGTTTCACAGCCATAAAGTAAGACGGAGCGAACTACTGCGCAGTGCACTCGTCCTTTGGTCAGCAAACGGATATCTCGCCTACGCCATAAGTGACGCAGGTTCGCAAAAGCCAATCGAGCCTTCTGTATCCGAGCTGAGATTTCGTCAGTCACCAGGCCATCGGCACTGATGAGACTCCCAAGATAAGTGAAGCGGTCTACACGTTCAACCACTTCACTCCCTATCACTAGTTCAGGTGCCAATGCAACCCAATCTTGAAGCAACATTTTGCATTTCGAGGGGGAAAACCGCATCCCGAACATGCTTGCATTGTTGCTTAGGGTAATCAGAAGACTCTGCATTTTGTCAGCGTCTTCACCAAGTAGGACAATGTCATCGGCATATTCTTAGTCAATAAGCGAGCCACCTGGAAGAAGGTCTACTCCTGAAAATTCAGACGAGTATAATGTTATGTCTAGGAGCATGTCTATGATAAAATTAAACAAGAATGGAGAAAGTGGACATCCCTGACGGACACCACTTGATGTAGAGAATTCAGATGACAGTTTGCCATATGCTCTCACCCGACCAGTGGTGTTCGAGTAAAGAGCTTGTATAAGGTTAATGTACTTCTGTGGTACACCTTTCAATGACAGACACTGCCACAGAACCTCACGATCAACAGAGTCAAATGCCGCCTTAAGGTCTAGGAAAACAACTATTGTAGGACGCCTAAATGTGTGTCTATGTTCCAGGACCTGTCTGAGTGTGAAGACGTGGTCTATACAGCCACGTCCAGGTCGAAAACCAGCCTGGTTTTCTCGAGTCTGCTGTTCACGAGCTTTCGTTAAGCGTCGAAGTATTATTGAGGCCAATATTTTAGATACTATATTAGTTAGACTTATTCCTCTGTGATTGTCACAAGAAGACTTTTGTCCTTTCTTATAGATTGGGACAATCAAGGATTGAGACCAGTCGGATGGGATTACGTCCAGTTCCCAGATTTTACCTAAGATCTCAGTCAATCTAGCTGCTAAAACTGGACCACCATCCCTGAATATCTCAGGGGTCAGTCTATCAGGACCTGCAGCTCGTCCTCGTTTCAGATTTCCTAACGCTTTCTCAACGTCATAAAGACTAGGGGGACTTACGTCAATTTGCCATTCAGGATGACTGGAGATCGTGGGTAACCGAAGAGTGGCTCGTGGCCAGTTGAACTGATCCCTAAAGTGTTCTGCCCATCGATCCAGTCTCCTGGATTGAGAATGGATAATAAGACCATCCTTTTCCGAGATAGTCTCACTCACATTCGGGTTCCTAATACCGGTTTCTTTGATAAGGCGGAAAAGTTGTCTACTGTTGCCTATCGCCGCTGCCTTTTCCATCGCTTTTGCTTTCGCCACCCACCACTGTTCGCGGTCGTTACGCAGACTTTTTATAAGTCTGCGCCTAAGCTGACTACGCTCTTCATCATGCTCAGAGTCAGGTGGGATGCGTTTTCGAGCATCCATCAGTTGGGTGGATGCGACTGAAATCCACGGCTTCATCCTAGCATTGTGGTTTACCTTGCTAGCAGATACCATTGCTGTTTCCACAGCCTTTTTGATATCATACCAACCTGCTTCTGGATGGGAATCGCTTGCATGGTTGCTTAACTCTCTTTCTAGTTCCTCCTGAAATATTTTCTTGGTTTGATTATCATTAAGTAAAACCCTAAGAGGCTTTCTTACGGTGTCTTTCCTACGTCCAGTAAGCCTTAAACAGATACGAGCTCGCACTAGAGCATGATCTGAATCCAAACATGTGCTCCAGAACGAGCGACAGTCCTCTATCGAACCCCTCCATCGGTGGCTGATGGCCATGTGATCTAGTTGAGTCCAACGTTGAGACGACTTTGGAGGTCGCCAGGTCAACAGATGCTTTTCCTTATGCCTAAAGTTGGTGTTCGCTAAGAATAGGCGGTTATCTGAGCACAGTTGCAACAGACGGTCACCATTGTCTGTTCTCTCAGTCGCTACACCATAACATCCACCAAGATGTCTTTCCTTTTCACCTAGTCTACCTACTTGAGCATTAAAGTCACCAGCCATTATTACTATGTCAGAGCGCTTAGCTTTTTGGAGGAGGTCCGAAAGCTTTCTGTAAAACTCATCTGTAACCTCGTCTGCACTGCAGTCAGTGGGGGCATAGGCAGATATGACGAAGAGGCAACGGCGAGTGTCCCTATCCTTACGAGTCCTTACTGTCCCGTTTAGTCGGACAGCGCACAAACGACTATCTACTGGGATCCAGTCTAGGAGAGATAATTCTGCCCTAGGACTCAACGCTATGCCTACGCCAGCAAGACCCCTGGAAGCAGCATCAGGGCTACCGGATACCCGAAGAGTAAATCGAGCTGCTTCTTCGTTTTGACAAGGTGGGATCAGGTTAATGACTTTACTAGGATCCTGTATGCGCGTTTCCGAGACGCAGCATACATCGATGGCACGAGTTTCTAAAGTCCTAGCTAATGATGCCTGTTGCCCTATTTGACACAATGTCCGTACATTAAAAGCTCCAACATTTAGTCTAGAACGGGGTTTCAAGAGACCAGGAACGACGATTCGTGATCTCGCTTCGTCTGCATTAGCGGTGCAGTGAGAAAAGGGAGTGTGAGTAGAGTTAGTTGTAGAGATAAAAGAGACATTAGGGGGTGTAGGAAGGATTTGATTTTGACCAATTTGGTCTCGCGTGCTGTTACGGGTATGAGGGCGGTTATCACTTCCCGGCTGCCCACACCGTGGAAGGTTGTTTCTTGACGAACCTGAAAAGGAAGATGGATTAGTGTTGGTGCGTGACCGCAGAGTCCAAGGGACAACTGCTTGAGGCCGGTCACGCACGGCCTTTTTATGAGAGGTATTTAGAGGATTAGCTCCGTTCTTAAAGGCCCTTAGTGGGCACCCTTACCCAGGGAGACGGAAATCCGTGAGTTAGGGGAGGTGTGACATTTTTAGGGCCGACCTTTTCTAACCCTTCCTTCCTTGTGAGAAGGCAGCATCGCTGCAGATGCTGGTTGTCCGAGGGAAACACCTTACTGCTGTCACACCCCTCTGCAGTCAGCAGTACGACTTCGCCCTCAGACCTTGGGTAGCTGCTTTTAGTCTCATCGTTCTCCAATCGACCAGCCTGGCATGGTAGGACCTGCAGGAACATATGTTCCAGCCAGTATAGCTCGGTTGGGTCATCACGATAGGCAAGCCCGACCACCACGTCAAGGTAGCAGCTTCGGTCGGGCCTTTCTTTTTCTCCTGGTCATCAATCGACTGGATTATGAAAACGTCGACATCTAGACGGAAGCACGGTATCCAATGGACAGTTAGGATGAAGATGGACGATATGGACTTCGCAGATGATCTGGCTCTTCTATCGCACACGCAAAAACAAATGCAAGATAAGACGATCAGTGTAGCAGCAGCCTCTGCAGCAGCAGTAGGTCTCAACATATATAAAGGAAAAAGCAAAATTCTCCGATCCAAGACAACATGCACCAACCAAATCACTCACTCTTGATGCAGATGCCTTGGAGGACGTTAACACCTTTACATATCTGGGCAGCATCATCGACAATCAAGGTGGATCCGATGCAGATGTGAGGGAGCGGATTGGCAAAACAAGGACTGCATTTCTACAATTGAAAAATATCTGCAACTCCAAACAACCAACCAACCAAAACCAAAATCAGGATTTTCAATACAAATGTCAAGACAGTTCTACTGTATGGAGCGGAAACTTCGAGAACTACGAAAGACATCATCCAGAAGATACAAGTGTTTATTAACAGTTGTCTACGCAAAATACTTCGGATTCGTTGGACAGACACCATTAGCAACAACGTACTGCGGGAGAGAACAAACCAGATTCGAGTGGACGAGGAAATCAGGAAGAAGCGGTGGAAGTGGATAGGACACACACTACGAAAAGTACCTAACTGAGTCACGAGACAAGCCCTCACATGGAACTCTCAAGGCAGAAGGAAAAGAGAAATACCAAGGAACACATTACGCCGAGAAATAGAGAACGATATGAGAGGAATGAACAAGAATTGGACAGAATTGGGAAGGGAAGCCCAGGACAGAGTTGACTGGCAAAAATTGGTGAGCGGCCTATGCTCCATTGGTGGGTAACAGGCGTAAGTATGTAAGTAATGACGGTCAGTAGTCGATTTACTATTT